ATGCGAGTGGTGGCCGCCTGGTTTGAGCTTGCCAACCAGCAGCCCGAGTTGCACAAGGCCATAAAGAAGAGATGGTACCCCGCAGTTGAGCGGCTGGCGGGCAAGACCCGCTGGAGTAAGGTCACCTCCCTCTACTCCGCCCTCGCTGCCACCCTCCGTGGCCTCAACGTGCACATGGTGGGGCCTGAGGGTTGGACCCTTCCAGGGGGGCACGCGTTACAAGTTGCCTCCAGGGAGCTTCAAAGGGCAAGCCGAGTTCCAGAAGGCCTTCAGCATTCACGTTTCGCAGACGCTCTGGGGGAGGGCCTCGAAGTTCCACCTCGGAGGGGGAGCGAGTTTGGCACAGGCACGTGCGATTCTCAGGCTACCTGTCAAAAGCTTCGGAGGGACGACCAGCCCACGCGGGCAAAGGCGCGTCACACCATCGGGAAGGGGTCAATCTTGACCAACGCCCGTACTCACCAGTGCAAGCCCTGCCAGCCCTCCCGTTGCTTCAGATGCAGTGCGGCAGTGGAGGACGACCTGCACCGCTTCTGGACCTGCCCTGTCCTGAATCGGAGTCCCGACCCCGCCATCAGCGAGTCTCAGCACCTGGTGGCCAAGGCAGTGGAGCAGTTCCCGTCATAGCCAGTGAAGTGGGGACGAGGATTGCAGCCAGCTGGTTCTACCGTCGGAGTTCTGGAACAACACCCCCGCGAGCCACCATTGGAGCCACGGGGTCCTTCATGATCCAAGGATTCCCGACCGAGGGGATTTTCCAGGTGGGCAGCGACGCTGGAGGTGGACCTGTCCCGCTGGAGAGTGGGAGTCAAAGATGCCGACCTCGAGACCCTAGGAATCCTGCGGGGAGGCCTGCCAGGTAAGCGGACCATCAACCGCGGGGGTCTGTACGCGGTCGTCCAGGCCCTCCGCAACCTCGGTGGTGATATTCTGATTGTGACAGATTCAGCATGCGTGTATCGAGGAGTACTGAGGGGGAGCCCAGTGGAATTATAAGACCAACGTAGATCTCAGGCAAGATTTTTGGGAGGCCCATCAGGTGTTCAACGGGACCGTGGAGTTTCACAAAACCAAGTCCCACCCGTCCGAGCCAGAATTCTGGGGTCATAATATCCAGCCATGTGCTTTTGTAGTAAGTGAGTGCAGACAAGGTAGCCAGTGATGCATCCACCCGCGTTCAGTTGCCCGCGTGGGTCACCCGACCCGTGCTGGAGGCCGACCGTGAGCTCAGCCTCATTCGACACCTCTTCGCCGCTATTCGGGAGTTTGTCTGACGGCTTTCCCCGCGCCGCCCCCTGCCCCAAGAAGCGAGGACGGATCCAGGCTCCCAGGAACTGGGGCCACGCTCAGCACGTTCTTGAGGGGGTTCCAGAAGGGGTGCGGTGTGACATCTGTTTCAGGCACCGGGCCCAGGGGACCAGGGAGTCCTGGCTGAGCCAACCGTGCAAGCCGGATCATGCCCAGACCTTTTACCCGGTTTACCTTCCGCACCTCCATGTCTTTCGAGGTGTGGCCTTCTGTAGCAGTTGCGGAGAAGTGTCGTCGTTGAAGGCCTTTAAGTTGAATGCTCTTTGCGCCCACCCCACAAGCACGGGAAAGACGGCCAAGTCGAGATTTCTCAGAGAGCAGCTGCCGCAAGGTTTGCAGCGGTTGCCCACGGCTCTAGCGACGCAGTCCCACGAAGACTGCGCCCGAGGTGTGGGCATTCCAGCTCATCGTATATACCGATAGGGCTGGTCTTTGGGCCCGTGAAGAGCGCGGATTCCCCTTAGTGGCATGCAACATGCAACATGGAGGGCGAGGAGGAGGAAGACGATGACGGATGAGGATGATGATGAGGATGATGATGTGGATGATGATGGGGATGAGGGAAATTGGTATGATGATGCTGATGATGCTGGTAATGCTGATGCTGAAGCCGATGAGGTTGGCCATGATGTTTCTGATGCTGAGATGATGGTGATGTCGATTATGATGATGCTGAGGATGACGATGCTGGTGATGATGATGATGATGATGATGATGATGCTGATGATGATGATGATGATGACGATGATACTGATGATGCTGATGATGCTGATGATGCTTGTGTTGATGACAAGGGTGCTGCTGATGATGCTATTGTTGCTGTTTCTGACGATGATGCTCAGGCTGATGATGCGGGTGATGATGATGATGGTGCTGGTTATGGTGTTTATGATGGTGGTGGTGGTGGATGACGATGATGATGCTGCTGATGACGATGAGGAGGAAGAGGAGGAAGGAGGATGAGGAGGAGGAGGAGGAGAAGGAGGAGAAGGAGGAGGAGGAGGAGGAGGAGGAGGAGAAGAAGGAGAGGAGGAGGAGGAGTGGGAGGAGGATGAAGGGGAAGGGGGACGAGGGGGACGGGGGTGTAGTAGGGTGAGTTAGTAGTACTAGTAGTAGTAGGAGTAGTAGTAGTAGTAGTAGTAGTAGTTCGTAGTAGTCGGTAAGTAGTCGTAGTAGTCGTAGTATAGTAGGAGTATTAGTAGTAGTGAGTAGTAGTATAGCAGTAGTAGTAAGTAGTAGTAGTAGTAGTAGTGTAGTTGTAGTGTAGTTGTGTGTGTAGTAGTAGTAGTAGTAGTACAAGTAGTCGTTGTTATCGTAGAGTAGTAGTAGTAGTAGTAGAGTAGTAGTAGGTGGTGGTGGTGGTGGTGGTGGTGGTGTGGTGGTGTGGGGTGGTGTGGTGGTGGTGGTGGATGGTGGTGGTGGTAGTGGTAGTAGTAGTAGTAGTAGGAGAGGAGGGAGGAGGAAGAGGAGGAGGAGGAGGAGTCGGGGGAGCATTGTGATGGGGGGGGGGAGGATTGCAGATGCCGGAGGGTTACATAGCGCAAAGTGCATGGAACCCCTTCCCGAACTCGGTCTGACGGAATTTGGCGTGATGTCTGCACATGCCCTGTTGGGGCTTCCTAGGGCTCCTCTAGGAGGGCTCCTCCTGGGGCTCGTCCCGTTGATGATGACGATGCGGGTGAGGACCAGGGTGATGAAGGTTGTGGTGGTGGTGGTGGTGGTGCTGACGATGATGATGATGCGTGATGATGACGCTGGCAATGATGACGCTGGCAATTCTGGTAGTGGTTGTGGTGATACTGCTGGTGGCGACGGCGATAATGTTGGTGATGGTGGTGGTGGCGGTGGTGGTGGTTTCGGGGATGGTGATGGTGGTGATGACGATGGTGACGACGATGGTGAGGATGGTGATGCTGATTATGGTGATGATGCTGTTGTTGATGATGATGGTGATGATGCTGCTGATGATGATGATGATGTTGTTGTTGGTGATGCTGATGACGACGGTGATGCTGATGAGGTTGATGATGATGCTGATGGTGATGATGATGATGCTGATGACGATGCTGAGGACGATGGCTATGCTGCTGATGATGCTGCTGATGATGATGCTGATGCTGATGATAATGACGAAGATGATGCTGTTGCTGATGATGATGCTGCTAGTGATGGTGTTGGTGATGCTGATGATGGTGCTGCTGACGATGATGATGATGATGATGATGATGATGATGATGATGATGATGATGATGATGATGATGATGATGATGACGAGGATGCTGATGATGATGATGACGAGGATGATGATGCTGATGCTGAGAATGGCTATATGATGATGACGATGATGATGCTGATGATGATGCTGCTGATGATGATGATGATGATGCTGATGGTGATGCTGATGATGATGAGGATAGTGATTATGCTGCTGATGAGGATGCTGATGATGATGATGATGATGATGATGATGATGATGATGATGATGATGATGATGATGATGATGATGATGAGGATGATGAGGATGATGATGGTGGTCGTGAGGACGGGAAGGATGGGCGAAGAAGAGGAGGAGGAGAAGGATGAGGAGGGAGAGTCGGAGGGAGAGGAGGCGGAGGAGGAGGAGGAGGAGGAGGAGGAGGAGGAGGAGGAGGAGGAGGAGGAGGAGGAGGAGGAGGAGGAGTAGGAGACGGAGGAGGAAGAGGAGGAGAGGAGGAGGAACAAGAGGAGGATACTGCCGCCGCGACCACGCGTAATCGGCCTCACGTTCGGGAGGGGGCGGCGCCGTCGGATACGGACGGGTAGTGCATGGGCCATTCCAGAACGCAGCGCGGCGCTCTAATCGACCCCTGCTGATGCATGCTCCTAGCTATCATGGCGGGCCGCGCGGTCCGCCATGCCGCGCCGGGTCGCGGGGAGGGGGGGGGGTCCTCCATCTCTTCTTTTCTTATGGCGGGGGTATGGGGGGGGTTGGATGCGAACCGTCCCCTGCTATCGGTCGCCTGTAGATTTCCTTCGTGGATTTAGCGTAGGATGGAGGGCTGCGGCGTTTGAACGTACCTTTCGTTGGGAGTTTTGTTGACCTTCTGGGCAAGTTCTAGTCGCCACGTGGCTCGAATAAACTGGCCACGGTTGTGCCTTCGAGGATACTGATATACGGTTGTCGACTTTGGTATAGTGTGAGTTGCGACGTATACGCCGTGCCAAGCTGCTGGGCGTGTCAGCCTGCACAGCGTGTCTTTCGGACCACTTAGCATGTCCATTGTGTCACAACCCATGAGCCCCAAATCCGTCTCCCCTTATGTTACGCTTAGCGGGTCGTTTGGAGGGATGGGGGGTTGCGGGGAGATGGCGGAGGGTGGGTTCGGGGGAAAGGAGGTCTAGATACTCGTTCTGGGAGCCTTCCTGGAGCCACTTGCTCCACTCATGCGCTGACTCGAGTCGACCTTGAGCCGACCTTGAGCCGAGCTGGAGGCAAGCTAGAGTCCGTTGCGCGGGTCCCAGGAAGGCCTCCCAAGCGAGCATCTCTCGGGAGGGGAAAGGGGAAGGAGAGGGGGGAGACGGGAGGCCGCAGGAAAGGCAAGGGGCGGGAATGCGCGAGGCACGAGGAGCGGCCGCGGGCGGTGGCAAACGCCGCCGTGCTGTCGTCGCCGAGGCTGCGAGCGGGGAGGAAGACCCGAGGAGGAGGAGGAGGAGGAGGAGGAGGAAGAGGAGGAGGAGGAGGAGGAGGAGGAGGAGGCCTTTTCGTTGTGGGAGGAGGGGGGGGAGGAGGAGGAGGAGGAGGAGGAGGAGGAGGAGGAGGAGGAAGACCCGAGGAGGAGGAGGAGGAAGACCCGAGGAGGAGGAGGAGGAGGAGGAGGAGGAGGAGGAAGACCCGAGGAGGTGGCGGGAGCTCCAGAGCGCCTCCGGACGCTCCCGTGGGTGCGAGGCGTGGACTCTCCGTCACGTCACGCCCCGCTGGGGTCACGTGGGCCCGGGACCCCCCGGGGGGCGGCGGACGGAAGGACACGCGGGTCGCTGCCCACGGCCCGCCGAGGCCCACGGAGGTCGATCTCCCGGGAGCTGTCGGAGGCCCAGGGGCTGACACGAGCAGCAGCATCGGTCAGGAGGGAGAAAAGCAAACAGACACACTTAATCTTCGATTCCCCAGAAAATATAGGAAAAGAGTTCCGAGGCGGCGCCGAAAAAAGGCCATTCTAATACATATTTTTCTTTTGAAAATGCTGAATTTCTGCTTCTGGCGCCTGGGAGGCCTCGTGGGGGGGAAAGACAGAAACCCAGAACATATGGGAAAATAT